CCCCTTACGCTGGTGCTTTAGTAGCCCAGCCACTCTAGTCTAGGGTCTAGATCTTGGCAAGAAAACGTACAATCCACCGAAACCAGGGCATCTGTGGTAAGCACCGGAAATACACTGAATATCGCACCCAGTACGCAACTCCACGCTCTCACCAACAATGTAGAATGGCGTCAGCCACCCCCATTGAAATTAAGTTCTTATTCATTTCATTGACCACGTGGAAGATAACTTAGTTCAAAGCGACTACATACATTGAAGATAACATACAAGGATGACAACCGACTGATATTTCTGAGGGCAACGGTTGCCCGGCAACCGGCTGATATTTTACCATATTTGAGGACCATTTTATTATTATTATTATTATTATAAACTTTGTTTTGACACGGTAGAATCATCAGTAAAAAATTACATAATATAGATGTATATAAAGTATAGAAAAAGGAGGAAAAGGAAAAAAATACAAATGCTATTTACAAAAGACAGAACAGTACTGATTTACATGATTGCCGTGTGTGAATCTAAGCTAACCAAGATTCTAAACCTCGTTTAAAGGCAGTAAGGGATTGTGCCGAACGAAGTTCAGTTGATAAACTATTCCATAAAACAGCTCCATCGTTGCTGAGTGAGCGCTTTAGATAATCTGTATGTGGCTTAGGGACAAATAATGTATTTTCATTGTTCCTCAATCTGTAAGGACAAGATCGCGAAATAAATATGTCTTGTAGATATTCCGGTACCCTCTTGTTTATAGTTTTATACATAAGAATTGCTTTATGCTTTTTGCGATTAAGAGATAACTGGTGCCAGTTTAACTCCTCCAGTAAAGAATTCGAGGAGTTTTCATATGTGCTTTCCGTGATCATACGAGCAGCAGGTTTTGTAACTTTTGTAACTTACTGCTCAGCTCGCTGCCGATACCGTCCCAAACCGGGCAGCAGTAATTAAGGTAAGGCTCAATTAAGCCTTTGTACGCTTTCACTGCAATTTCCCTGTTTACAAATCGCCTCACTCGTTTGAGGGATTGTCGAGAGAGATTTGTCCTGATTTACATAAACTTCAGCTTTGATTTTCTCGGCTTAGACAATGTTTATTTTTAAAATTACTTCGCCAATGAACTCATCAGATGGGTCATTTTTTAAGTACGATAATTCGGCTCGAGTTTGTATATCAGATACAGATCGACTGCTCATGTTTTATCTAGTACTTGATGTTGCGTTAAGTTAAATTAATTAAGTTAAGAACAGTTCAGGACAAGGAAGTGATCGTTTAAAAGTTAGAAACTTGCTTTCGCTAACAATAAAAGTTCAGTTTTGATCTGCCTAGTTATTTTGTGAATGGCATAATTTATTAAAAACTAGCACATAATTTTTGTAAACTAGCATAATTCGTTCGAGCATAATTTAGACAAAAAATGAGCACTGCTAGTAGCATAATGTGCGTGTTTAACTAGCACAATCGAGAAAAGCCTGGCCCTAGCCCAGGGCGCCAATTTACATGCATGCAAGTGCATGTGCAAAGTGCCAAAGTAGTTCAGATTAACTCACAAAAAATTAACTAAAGATAACACAGCCAGGCCGGGAAATTTGTCGTCGCTGACCAAAAAATCGCGGGCAGAAACAAAGCTCCATTGCATTTACATTAAAAAACAAAGCAGAAAGTTAGCAAGAAGTGTTTTTAGCTGACGATTTTTTCTTTCCATTCAAACGATTTACAAATTAACGATTATTCTTTAAAAATCGATCATGAATTCCTTGTTTTGGGATGATTTTGTTTGTAATCGAGTGATTGGAGGAAGTGAATATGGCGACGTGAACATGGGAGCAAATACCGTACTACGAGCTATGACTTGCTTAACACCGTAATAAACGAAGAAAAACGTGATTTGAGAATGAAATGTAAGTTGAAATTAATTTTATATGCCTCAAATTTTCCATCCAATGTCTCTTAATGTTACTTCAGCGGTCTAAGTTCAAAATACAAGCTCGCGAAATTTGATGAATTTTGAACTGTATTTTTTTTAAAATAGCCCGTGGCCTCAATTTCAAATATAGCTAAATGAAAAAAAAAAATTTTCGGTGTTTGAGGGTATCAAATATATCGTCAGGAAAATAGGGGCTCACAATGTTTTAGCTAAGTCTTTGAGTAATTGAGACCCAGTTGCTTCGCACGTGTTGTGGTCAAATTTTTGCCAAGAATCAAAGGCCGAATTAATTCCACGCAATTGCGTGGCTCATTTTGCTCGCGCATGCTCAGACAAATTTCCCACCATTCGGTACAACAAAGTATCATTTTAACTATCCACATGTTTACCTCTTCTAGTTTCGGCAATTGTAACTAGTGGCAGTGCTTCGAATGGCAAGAAAAGTGATAAAACCATATTCGTATTGAATAAAGCTAAACATTATCTAATATATATACTTGCAGTTATAGCCTATGGCTATGACATATTATATTTTACGTCTAGTCGAGTGATGAGAAATTTGAAAATTAGCTAGTAGCGAATATTATATATTGTAGGTATTA